CTTGTCATACAATTGTAGGAATTCCAAAGGTCGTGGTTTTTGGGACCTTGTTTCTTATATGCTTGTATAATTAAAATTTAGTGAAAAATAGTTGATCTATGTGTATGCTTGTATAATTAAAATTGAGTGAAAAATAGTTGATCTACAGACAGTCCTTGTCATACAGTTGTAGGAATTTCAAAGATCGCGGTTTTAGGGACCTTGTTTCTTATATGTGGATGTCATATCTATCTTTATATTCCAGTCATCCTAACTTTCTGTTGTAGCCTATAGAGGTTCCTGCAATCCAAGTATTAGCATGTGTATTATCATCCTGCCACATCTGTTCTTGTTGTCATGAGAACCTGTTTCTGGTAGGATTAATTTTTTATGGAGTACAACTCTAAGTTGCAAAAGCTCACTGGATAAATTAAACAATTATTTTATCTGATGGCCATTAATGTTATGTTAACCTTCTGAGGGGGACTGAGCCGTAACTTGACTATGTAATTTGTAGTTTTTTAAAATTGTCAATTGAGGATGTAGAAAAGACAGGGCAGACTCCTTTGTGAGTGGGGCATTAAGAAAGACATAAGCCAATTAAGTTGTAAGGTTCAACTTGGAAGGATCAGGTATTGTATTGGAGTTTGAGCTCAATTTACCAGGTAATGATCTGAGTATGTGTCAAGGCCATTAAGGCAAGGATATAATGGGAATAGCAGGGTATGTGTGTTGGTGTGATAGAGTATAAGATACGGGATTTTAGGGAAACATGGGTATCTTGGCTGTAGTAACAGTTATAAGTGGTTTGGGTTTCTCTGTCCTTCCATTTTGGACAGCTCCATTTATCACTGCCTCGATATGTAATTGTATATGTATTTTTGACTTGTCTTGTGTCATTGGCTTTTTTATGTCTCTTTCGTTCAGAGGGTTGCTATAGAATCTAATATAAGAATGATAACACAATCTGGGTTTCTTTCGCAGACTGATCAGAAGTTGCGGGTATGCGATATTTGTGGAGCATTCTTGAGTGTCTATGACAAGTAATTTTCTCATTTTATTGTATAAAAGTTATAATTATGATTCTGAGAATCTGAACCCTGATTTTGAAGTACTTATAATAAATGCATAACATCCTTGCTACATTCTGGCCTTATGCATAGTTTTATGAGAATTACCTTTTTTGTTGTTAATAGAGAATATTGCATTTTATATTTTGCTATATTTTTAGAACTTAAAAGGCTATAACAAATTGGTAAGAGCTATACGTATTTTGTATTTGTCCTAATGAATCAGCTGCTCATTGGTGTGGTGTACAGTGACCGTCGCTTGGCTGATCATTTTGGAGGGAAACTTCATCTGGGCTATATGCAAATCCGTGAGAAACTAGCAGAACTCCAGGTAACCTTTACACGTCATTTCTTTATGTACAATTTAATATCCTAGAATTTTTTGATGCATTCTTAGATTTGGAACTATTCACTTTCTTTGGGATAGATGATGCTGCTGTACTGTACATAAAATCCTGAACAGGATGCACTTATTATTTTGGTTTACATTCTGTGTTGATTTGGTTTGTCTTGTTACTAAATGTCTTTGAAGTTCGATCTCTGAACATGTTCGTCAGGTGCTGGTTTAATGTCTGACATTCTGCAATAAAGAGTTACACTTAAATTTGACATCAGTGAGTTTTCTTATCTCAATGAAAATTCAACATGTGGTTATGTTTTTCTGTCATCACTTCTTTTTGGCTAGCACACTGTGATGTGGGAGGATCTTTGGAATTATCAAAGGTGGCCATATATGGGCTCTGAGAATCATTCCTATTCCCTGTCTGGACAACTGCAATCACATAAGTGAAAGAAACTGTAAGCAGATGAACAGTATGTAAATCATATTAAAATTGGTAGCTGAAGATTCTTTTCTTTTTTATCTTGAAGAATTTGTTTTTTTTTTTATGGGCCTGGTTTTTAGTTGTAATTTGGGATATGATGCTAAAAACGAAAGAGACCTCATAACACCTGTTAGGTAACTTGTGGGCCATCTTAACAATAACTATTTATCTGATTTAAGTGTTTCTGAATGAATTATTTGGCATGGAAGCGAACTTTTCAAAATATACAATTTGAAATGAGGACATTGGTATCTGTTCTGGCCCAAATTAATGCTCTGTCCTGGCCCAAATTGTTGGTTTCTAGATCATAAGATCAATTTTTTAGCAGAAAATTGGAAATCTCTTTTTGAAAGCTTCAGTTTGAGTTACCATTTTGATTTCAATTGATAAACAGACAACTGAATTGGCCATTAGCTTACGTTTTGCAGCTGACAGTTGTTGTAAAAAGGCTTCTATATAGTTCATTGACCGTGAGTCTCGCTACAAGTACTTTCTCGAGTAGGCATTGATGTGTTCATCCAGACAAAGAACAATGTTAGTTTCATTTGTTCATTCTCTTTGTGAAAAGTATCTGATAAAACCTCTATGACATATCACTGGGAGCCAGTGAAAGTTGTCCAATTGTTTGTGCACTTTATCGATACCTTCAGTGATATTGATAATTGAAACATTTTCAACTGACAAAGGCAAATTTTTCTTTCAATGTCCATCTTCAATTTCTTTATTTTCCTTGCTTTTTGACTTCATGACATATTGAACATCATATTCTGGTTGCGATTGACTAGATATAATCCACTTGTTTGTTTTTCAATATCAATGTCTTCACAACTATTTTCCCAGGAAGAGAGAAACAAAAAGCGGAAGATTGACCGTTCTGAAGATGATAGAAGGTATTTACTTTGTTTGCCATGCTTTGGACAACCCTATGTAATGCCATTAATCTACAACGATATTTTTAAATTAATGCCTTAGGTCGAAAGAACGGAGTAGGGATCATGACAGGGCAGGAAGCAGGGATCGAGACATAGATAGAGAGGTTCGAGGTGATAATCGAGATAGAGGCAGAGAACACGATCGAAGAAATAGGGATCATGATCGGCATTATGATAGAGATCATAGAGACCGAGACAGAGATACTGATCGATCTCGCAACTATGATTCGAGGAGTCGAAGAAGGTCACGTTCTCGATCAAGGGATCGTGGCAGAGATTATGACCGGCATAGGTATTGCTGTATATATATTTTAATATTTTTATTCTGTTTGTTCATTCAGTAGCTAGTGCAATCCAAAAACTACACATTAGAATTTGTTTTTGCTTTTTTTAACCATATTTGTCATGAGTTGGTTGTCTAAGCTAAACACTGTATAAACTTGTGAGTGTTTGAAAATATTTCTTAAGACATGGTTTAACTTTAAATTTGCAGAAAGTGATGCTAATCTTTTTCATATTAATAGTGGCCAAGAGCAAATAAATATGGGATTTATCATTCACTTAGTTGTTGTCATATCTTTGGTGTTCTCATCATAAATTACTCTTTATCAAACCTTCACTTGGTCTTTCGAGCACATTTTAATTTTTTTGCGTTTTTTGTGCGGTTAATATTATGGTGAAGGTGGGTTTTTTTCCCTCCGCTTTGCATTGCCTAGTAGTAGACTCTTGATGGCCAATATTATGATTTCTGTAATCCTCATCCTGCAATATCTCTCGAGAACTCATTTTATTTTTTTCTTCTTTTTTGTGCAAGGTTAAGTCAATATTTTGGTGAATGTGGGATTCCATTTTTTCTCCACATTGCATTGCCTAGTAGTAGTCTTGATGGTCAATATCATTCTGTGGTCGTCAGCTGCGATGTTTTTGTTTTCCTGTTTTCTAATAATTTATTTTTCAATATCATGAATGGAATATTATGTGTGCTTCTCCTTAAAATATTGTCAATGAAATTGTAGCTAATGTCCCTTGAGTCAAGATCAAACGATGGGAGATTATAGCAAAGCAATTTTGATAAGTCATATGCTATGTTAGTGTGTTTTTCAGTATCATGAGTGGAATATTGTATGTTCTTTCCATACAGTTTTGTCATTGGAACATATATGATATCAGATATCGTGAGTCAAGAACAAACACCGGCTGACTATGAGAATTTTGACAAGCTATTTGTCATGGTATTTCAAAATTAGTTTGTAGCTAACAACGGAAAAAAGGAGGAATCGACATAATATGTAAAACGTATTTTTATATTCCAAGCAGCTTTTTTCAGTTCACATTAGTTTTCCTGTGCAAGCATTGCCTTGCTTTTATTAGATTTATTGCTTTCATTTATTTAAAATTATGACTAGCTCAATTTGACATTTTTAATGTCTTGTTGCAGGCGTCATGATAGGTACTAAAATGTTTTCCCCAGCATAACTTGGATGTCAGCCATGGACTGTAGGGTCTGGGATGTATCGACTGTGTTCATGTGGTGATATTTCGTTTCGATCTTGCTGACAGACAGCCATTGATTTTCTCATGTTCTGTGAGTGATGGACGATGCCTGATTAGGACGGCAAAACTGGCAAAAATGTTTTATGATGTTGAAGACCTCATTACGATCTCATTAGATTTGCATGAAAGTACTTTGTAAAATTTTGATGAGACAATGTTCCTCTTCTTTGTTTCCTTTTTGTGCCACTTAAGAGCCCAAACCTGGGTTTCACATTTAAGTTGGTAGCCTAGATATCGTTCATGGAGTCTGAATTTCTGTGTTTTTTTTGCTTTTTTAAATTAAAGAAAGGATTGGAACCAAAATTTCCTGTATCTTTCTGCACCTGGTATATGGCTCTGGTACATATATATCATAAACACTCTAGTTTGTTGGACATTTATTGCTCATCTAATGCTCCATTCACTAGTGTTTATTCCTCATCCAACTATTTGGATGAGCAATAAACACTAGTTTTGCAATCTTAGTGATGCTAGCATTCTAAATAGTTGGGTGTTTTTGATCCATAATTGTCCACAACCATGACTTGATTGATTCTGGATAAAAATTCGTCTACATCATTTCTCATTTGCATAAAAATTGTCACTCCATTGTTAGTGGCAATTGTATGGAAGCCTGACTGCAAGGGGCAGCCATTATAAGCATGCAGATATTGTGTTTGTCCGGGGGTCCATATGATGTACTTATACAGAGCTGCTACACTTGTGGTGAATAGGAGGAGGATGAACGAAACCTTATTTTTCCTATTTATGTTCATAGGCTAGGAGTGTTTGGATTACTCATTAGCAAAAATTAGATTTGAAATTTTCATACTACCGATGATTGGGGCAATATATCTCGAGTATCGAACATGACTAAAAACTTTCGTTCATATCTATGATACTTTCGTCTAAGATCAAAAAATATTTGAATTTGATAATATTTTCTTATGCCACATCAACATAATATGATAATATTTTCTTATTAAAGCACTGTTAATTTATTTTCACCCAATCTAAAGATTGATAGTATGTATTAACATGAGAATATATATATATATATATATTAAATTAATCGCAAGAATATATATTCCTAATTAAGAGAGCAATTGAACGGATAATTACCTAAAGGATCACCAAGTATACATATACCATTTGGGGTTCCCCCGTAAGTAAAAGGATATCGATTTATTGTTCCTAATCTAGACCGCGAGTTACCAGATTTGGGGCCGGCATCGTACGCGCTCGCTCTTCCTCCCGCTCCATCCCCGCTTAGGGTTTTCAAGAAGAAGAAGAAGACGACGACGAAGCTTTTCGCTTCGCCTTCCTGTTTCTCGGCCGTCTCGTTTCGCTCCTCGCGTGGCCGCCTGCGATTCAGGTAAACCTCCGCTTTCCCATTTGTCGTCTCGCGCTTCAGAAAATTCAGAAAATTTTGGATCAATCTGCGTCATTCCTTCCAAGAATGACGAGATTGTTATCTCATCGTCGTTTTTGCGTTTTTTTTTTTTTTTGCACCAAAAGAAGATCTTGATGGTATATCCCTTCGTTCACGATTGCTGCTGGGTGGTCCAATTCACCCAGACTCTGGCTCCCAATGTTCCTGAGACCTCTGTACGAGCTTTTGTTGCGTTTATCTCCCTATGAGTCACCGTGTCGACGGGATGGTCGAAGGTTTGGAGATTCCGCCGCTTCCGAGTTCGTCTCTAATCGGTGGCTGGAAACAGGAAGAGAGTTCGCTGACCTCACTTACCTGTCCAATTTGTTCTTTCGTGAGCTAGAGGAGAAGTTCGAACGGTTGTTCTCTGACGTAGGCCACCCAGTGCCTTCCACGTTCACTGATTCATATCAGGAGGGACTCGTACTTCTGTTGAGGTGTTGCATGGTCATGCTGCATTTTCTCGAATTTGACCTCAGCTTGGTTGTAGAGAAATGCAAGATTCTCTTGTCAATTCTCCGGAGGTTGTGTGTACCAAATTTACCATTTGCTTTATGTAGCTGCAAACTCCATCCTGAGGCAGATAATATCATTAGTGGGGTCACAAGCTTGGCTTCTCATCGGTGCCCTAGTGATCTAATTGGGATAAATGGGCCAAATGAGGGAGCTAGAAGGCCAATGCTTTCCTTTTTCCGAAGAATACTTGAGGTAATTTTTGGTATGCTAGTCTTTCATATGAATTGTTTTTGCGATCATTTTCATGTAAGGGATGTCTTCTAAAATGTCACTTTTATCCTGAATGTTGAAAATTGGAATTATTATTTTCCTATGGTTGTCAACTTTTGTTAAGAGTATCCACAGTGTTCACTCAACAAGGGAAAAAAAGATAATATTTAGATACAAGAGAACTTACTTGTTCCTACTTTGTAGTAATCTAGTCGACATGACAGATCCGTGAATGCTAATGAAGATTCGTAACAGATATTTCGTGCTCTGTCAACAAACATGACCGTGGACAATGATGCTGTAGAACTCTAATCCTTTGTAAGCATTCAGAGGTCAAACTTGATTTTACTTCTCAGAGACCTTATGACGTTAACAATAGTTTGGCATGCCAAAAGTTAATTTGAAGTTTGCTAAACTTTAGAAACCTGAGTCTAATATCAATACTCACTCTCTATCACTTGGGGGTTAACTTTCACAGAATGGAGTTCATGCTCAAGATCCCTCCCTTAGTCTTGAACTTTATAGATACAATTGTGTTGATGACCTAGACCTTGAGATAAAGAGCTGCAAGACCTTATTAGATTGATTTGATATCTCAAAACTTAAAACTTCAGGATGATGATAATGTTGCTAGCAAATATATAATTGTCAAGAACCAATTTTTGCAAATGGGAAAAATCACAAAATTAATGTTGACAAGTGATAGATGGACCTTTGTTTATTTTGAGATTCTGTTGTTGTTAGGTAAATCTGAGAATATTCTGATTTTTTTACTAATGTGCTGGTTCCATCTCCTAACTTTGTTTATAGATTTCATGCTTCGGCCAGCCACTATGTAACTTGGTCCACATGATCAATTGTGCTTTGAAATGTACATTTAAAAGCATGCCGCATCTCATGAAATAGCAAAATAGTGAAATATGCATTAACCGTATTTATTTTCTTCTGACTTATTATTTGGGTTATGGTGCTCATTCCTCTAAGAATTGCAATATTTTTACATGTTTTATTCCATTCTGGTATACACTATTTTCCAATTTATTGATCTGGATAGATGTGTGTGTTTTCTAGTATGTTTATGTGCTTGCATTTTAATACTCTTGCATATTTGAAATACTTATGGTCAGTCACTCCCAGGTGTTTATTGATGAATTTCTGAAGAACTGCCAAATGAGAAAACATTTTACAATGACAGATAATGTTTCCGTCACAGAACAGAAGCTTTTTGTATCTCATGGCAGTTACGGCGATATATATGCTATTCAAGAGATTATTTCCAGTCATTTCCTTCTATCAACTAATGATGAGTGGACATTCAATAGATTTATTAACTCACTGTCTTGGGCCAATGAGGTTGAGAATGATGTATCTGAAATATGCCTGAGCACAATGTTGACATTGCTAGGTTTCCGCAACATGTTCTTCATACCATGTATGCTTGAAGCACATCTGCTTTCGTGGGCTTCCAAATGCATCAGCATACAGAGGCCTAAAGTTGATAGGGGGTTGAATGAGGAACTGATGAATTCCCACATCTTAGCATTTGAACTTTCTGTCAATGTTTATATAGGTCACATTTCAAGAATAGGACTTGTCAGTAATATAAATGGAGAGCATGTTCAGCCATGTTATCATGACAAGAAATTATCTTTTGATTCTTGTATCCAACCCATGACCTACTATAAACTTCAACATCAGATGGACTCTTTGTTTGAATTCTGTTGCTTAAACTCTCAGGATTTTCTTTCTGAAACAAAAGCAGATATTGCAAATAAATCTTTTGCATTCATCAAAGAGAATAGTCATATTTTAGATGACATTTTCAGGGATGAAGCTTGTTTAATTTTACAATATATAGTGATAAATATTCTTTCAGAAGAAAATGTGGAAGACACAAAACATGAAAATGAAAGCAAAATTTCGCAAGAGATGTATTGTTTTGCTGCTGTATTGAAGTTAATGAGTTCATCACTCTTGCAAATCATATGGAACTTGAGACAGAAAGGGTGTGTAGGTGGCTCTGAAGCATTGGGTAATAAGGTTGCTTGCAGGGAATATAATTTTATAGCGGGCATTATCAGTTGTTTTGGGAAATATGAATTGAATCAACTTGTTAAGAGAATTCTGCTGGATGTTATTGGATCAAATTCTGCAAAACATGAGTCAAATCTGATGTTGGCACATTTTGCAAGCTTATTATATCATAGTTTCAGAAGAAGGCTTGGGTTTTTGTGGAATAGTTGCATTATTATGATGATGGTGATTCTCAATCTTCTTATTTTTGAAGAGGGTAATTTGGATGTATTGATGCCATTGGTTGTTATATCGAAAGTAACAATTCAGCAAAGTTCTGAAGAAAAGCAAATAAAGGTATAATACTAGTTGATTCATATTTTTCTTTCTTTTCTTTGGTAGTTTTGTGTTTTGATTTGTAGATGAGAAAGCTCGTTTTACACAGGCATCAACTTGTAGAAGTTCAGTAGTAGCATCAAACTTGCATCATATTCAAATGCTCTATTTGAGGTAAGATGCTATGTGTCCTCTTAGGATTAGTGGTATGCCATGCAGATGTGTGAAATTTTTTATTTTTATTTTTATTTTTTTTGCACAATATTTAGTCTTTTACCTGCCATCTATCTAAAATTACTAGCTGTTAACCTGCTATCTAATCATTGTTTTTACTTATGAACTAATGACATGGATTGCATAAGTTCATTGTTGATCAATCACTATTGTGATAAATTGTTTCATAAGTTGAGACACAAGATGCAGACACAATAATTAATATACTGCTAATATGTTTTCTTGAAAACATATTTTGTACAATTTAGAAAGTTACAATTTTCATACATATAGCTCATAAAGCATTGTTAATTGAGTGACTCTTTGATTGAAGAAAATTTGTTGTAAGCAAGGTTCACAATTTCATGTATCAGACATGGCTTAAACAGGTTCAATACTAGTCCATACCTGTGTATCGAGTATTGGGATGCTAGTGCATATTGAGTTTTGAAAAAATAATGAAAAGAAGCTTAAAAAGACAAAAACAAAAGAAACTGCCTGGTAACAGGCTTATACTGCCCTGTATCGAGTATAAGATGTGTACTGGGTGGCAAAGGTCCTGGACCAGATATATCATCTGATTTACCCTGTTTCACGTATCAGTAGATTGTTGGATGGTAAATATCTACTGTACTGGACAGTATTGCAAACCTTAGCTAGAAGTCAATTGTAAGAGCTACAATATTATAATTAGATGTTATTTGAAAGGAATATCTTATAAAATAGTATCACAAAGATGAGGATTTTGGGATGCATTAAAGTTACTGGAATATGAAATATCTTGGGTTGTGGCACCAAGTGCAAGAGCAAGATAGAATGCTGGTGTCATAGTATTAGTTGGATTACTCTTTTGGATCGATCTATTTATCTACGCATTCATCTGCTTGATCCATTTCTAAGGTCTTGTGGTTTAGAAAATTCATTAGCTTAATAATTAAAACAAGGAGAAAGATGTTTGATAACTTGAAATTCTGAAGTTGATGACTCTTTCTTATTTTAATTCTTTGTAATGTTTTTTTTTCTTCTAAGATATTGAAGTACAAATGTATTAACTATGTAGTTATAAAAATTAACATCCATATAGCGATTAGCCATCCCTTTGTTTCTCAACCCAGCACAATATGTTACTAGAAACTTTTTCATAACATTTTTCTAGTTTATTAAACGTCATATTGCAAGTTTTTCTTCCTTTTCTTTCTGTTTGTTTTATTGTATTAACAGCTAAATACGCCATTTCGTCTTCCACCAGATGCATCACCAGAAACAGGTAATGAAAAATAGGGTTGATCCCAACAATCGCTTGCTCATTCTGTCCGTTCCTGTCTTTCAATGGTGATTTTTTTTCTAGATTTGTATTTTAATTATCCTTTTTCCTTTAAAAGTAAATAGCCCAAGATCTTTCACTAACATAAAATTAAAGCTTGTGGAGAAGGAATCACGTGCAATGGGATGGAAAAAACTAGTTTTCTTTATAGTTTAAATCATGTGGATATGAGTCTATGAATCAAGTATATGTTACAAGTCAAATTATGTATTTATCTTAAGCTATCCAGTTATGTAAAATAGTTAAAAGTTTGTGGTGTCTGTAAGTCTATTATACTGTCCTACACTATATGAATCAGTGTGGAAAGTTTTTAAAGAAAAACCTCTATGGAAAAAAGAATCAAAGATAAGCGAATTCAATAGAGTTGTTATCAAAAGTAAAGCAAAATGAAAATATAGGAGGATGCATGACAAGCATGATTTGTCAAGCTTATCAGAAAGAAAAAAAAACTTACAATTAAGCAGTTTTATCTTACCGATTGTGCACCCATAAACTTGAGTTGTTCCTCCACAGTGAATTCCGCCTCATTCATCTTAATCTGGATAGTTCATCAATAGCATCAAATCAAGTCTTGACTAACTAAAATTTCATTTCTTGCATAGGATTTTATCAGGCGACTAACTTGACATGAACCATATGATATTGTGCCAATAGCTGATTGTTTGTCTTTAGGAGGAAGGAATCTGGAAACCATGGATTCAGATATCCTTGTGTACCGAATGTACCATCCATATCATCCCAGTCTACCTATTTGATATAATGCAATATACTGCACTAATATTGAGGTGTACTGATACCACCTAATATTTTAGTATTTTTCCTAGCTCGGTGGTATACTGTACCATTCCGGGAGGGGACTGGTATGTTTGGTATTTGAGACTTGATTCTCTTCTTGGAACTTTGATGTTTGATCCTGCACCTGCACATTAGGGTTTTCCCTATCTAGTATTTGTAAGAGTATTGATAATTTGATTTCCAACATCTGTCCCTACTATAGGAAACACAGACAAAATAAATTTAAATGTTGAAATTGTGAGTGTGAAGACCTATATTTTGGTTAAACAGTATATAAGTTCACACTACAAAGAAAATTGTGTTTAGTAACATCAAAAAAATTGTATAATGGGGAAGTTTAACTTAAAATGACAAAGGTTCCAAGCTATTGTGTTTCTTATGTACAATTATAGGACAAAGATGCAAAGCAAATGAAATATCTTAATTATTATACTATCCTAAAAATCTTAGTGTATGAACACAAATGGATTTGTAAATGTTGGTTTCTGGAGAAATTTTGTAAATAGCTTGTAGGCTTTTCTGCAACGAGTGTTACGATAGGCAGCTCTAGTATGCATGAGAAAAGGGAAAATATACACTTGGTCAAAGTTACAGATTTAAAAAAGTGCCAGTGAAGTGAAGATAAACCATAAGAAACTGAAAGTAACTAAAAGTGAATTTGGAACTCTTGCATCCCAGAACCAATGTCAATGTGGTTGGGAGAAGTTCCACATCCCATTTGTAGATATTAATTAGTAAGGGCCCGTATTTCTTTAGATTTAAAATAATATGCTGACCTGAGGATAAACATTACTTTGATGAAATTTTTAGTTGAAAAACAGAAGGTGAAGAATGATTATTTTAGTTTCCTTGGTGAAGCAGTTATGGGGCATCGAAATGGTGAAGGGATTCTGATTTAGGGTGAAAGATCCATTATTGTGGGAGATTAAAAGATGGAGAACCTATTAATAAGTGAAAAAGAAAAACTACTGCCAGACAAGCTTCCTTGGAAGAGAACTGATATATATTAAGGGAACTGGTCTATATTCCTAACACTTATATCATCCTTTGGAGAGTGGGATTCTTAGGACAGGAAACTAAAAACAACATTATTCTGCCAAGTGATTTCATTAGCATTGATTGTTAAATGTGTTTATGTGCCATTTGTTGTGGTGTTTATATTTTTTCTTTTTCATCTGGATAATATTTTTAAGTTATTTCTGTTCTCCAGCATGTACTGAAAATAACTTTTGCTTTTGCCGGATGACATTAGGAAAAACCACACAACAGAAATGCACGAAGACCAGTCCACAAAATGTCTAACTTCTATTGAGGATGCAAAGTGTAATTCTTACATTAGTGGAGCTAATACATGTAATGGTGAAACTTTTATTCAGTCTTTACCTGGAAATCAGAAAGATCCATCAGAATGGGCTGATTTGGTTGACTTCATTGAGGGCACGCATGGTAAGGATTACTCAGGTTGGTTAAGACATCGAAAAAGGTTCAGAGTATGGCAGCATGAAAAGAGACTTGTGATGAAAGGGCACAAGAAAGAAGTTGTAGCTGCAAGGAGACTTAGGTCCAAGAGGGCTAAGTGAGATTTTTATGCTATCATTTCTGCACTTTCAGAACATTCCCTTGGACCGGGATGTCTGGCTGACTATTGAATGCAGGTATGGCAAGAATTACTCTGGTTGAACTATTGAAAAGAAGGTTCAGTGGCAATTATTTTTAATAATGAAAAATGCAAGACATTCTGATTGAAGCACACAATCATGTGAGCAAAAGTAAACCGCCGCTTTTGAATTTGGGCAGTAAAGCTTCAGGTAGCGATGCAACAAAGTCATCTTCTTGGTGCTTCACATGCGATGTGCTATGATACACAAAATCATTCATATTTTAGTGCACAAGAATGGTAAAAGGATGTACCCAGGGCATGATGCATCCACCAATATAGAAACTCTTCCCATGGGTCAAATCTGGATCATTCAGATCGCAAAGGAGCAATTTTATGCCTGTACCAAGAGTCATTTCAAAGGGTTGGTACTAAAGTTGAATCACAAAAGTACCTTTTAGGAAGAGGAGAGAACAAAAGAAATAGCATGGGGTACCTATTTGGTCTGATGATATTCTTTATCTTTCAACAGCCATTGGTTCACCTTGTTATATGGTATAGCCAGTTGTATGGACTGCGGGGTCATGATTCCACAATTGATATGTGGTCCTTACAACATCAATGGATAGATTGGTGTAATATTTACACATCAGGTTGTGTTTTTCTTGTTTCAATGTTACAGATTCAGAATATGGAAAGAAAGCAGCTCTCACTGGGTATTGTAATCAATTTGTGTTTCATGCTAGATATATAAATAATTTGTAGCATCTCTTTCCAACAATCTTAGAATTACCAGCATTGGATGCACAAAGCATGGTGGATTTATTTCATAAAGTATTTTGATGACACAAAAGTGTGAACAGCTTTCCCATGTTATCTCTTTTTGGAGTAATCACCTGGATGTGACTCGTATGTAGTATTGTCATAAATTTGAATGACGTAAATTCCACGTGTAGTGATACATGAATCAGAACACCAGGGAAGCAGTTTGATAGAATCTCATGAACAATGAAGCTGTGGTAAATGAATGCTCATTACGCAATACACTGTAGCATCTTCTGGTTCAAACAATGTGATAGCTCATTATCCTTTGCTGAGGTAGGTAACCGATCTTTCTAATTAATATAATATTATATGAGTGATGAGTGATGAATTTGAGTTCACACATGTGATAGCTCATTATGTTTTTTGCTGACATAGGTAATGAATCACTATGTTTGAGTTGGGCGTCAGTTATGTTATTTGATATAATAATTTTTTATTTTAATTTTAATTTGGAGGGTTATTTATATGTTATCCTATTATTAAAATTTCTATAGTTATGAAATTAAAACATCTAGTTTTATTTATCCTAACGTCACTGATTTTATCGTCGAAAACATAAAATCAAAGAATAAAAAAATAATTTTAATGTTTCAATTGGTGGTAGCAGACGATAACATCGGGGGGCCAAAAACGAATGAAAAGAGCGATGGTGAGAAGTAAGGGTTACTCTCAATCTGTGTCGATGTTGACACAGTTATTAAGTAGCCTTTTCGTCGCTTTGCATTTACATCATTGTCAATGTAGTTGAGAAGCGACGAAAGATCTGCTCGATATCTGTATCGGTACCGACACAAATGCAAGCAATGTTGCTCGATAACTGCATTGGTGTGGATGTAGATGTAGAGCGACGCTACTCGATATCTACATCGGTGGTTCTTTCGCCACTCAACAACTGCATCAATGTCGATGCAGATGTAGAGTGAACGAAAGGATCGCTCGGGATGACTATTATGGATGAGGAGAGTGGTGATGAGATGTGAGAGTCACTTTACATCTGTGTCAACACTGATATAGTTGTCGAGCTGGCACTGATGCAGATGCCTAGTGACATTGCTATTCATCTACATAAGCATCAACGTATGTGCTGAGCGACGAAAGGGCCACCGATGTAGATGTCGAGTAGCTCTCACTTCTCGCCACCGCTCCCTTCATTTGCAACAATCACACGAGCGACCCTTTTGTTGCTTTGCATCTGTGTCAGTATCGACGCAATTACCGAGCGATAAAAGGGCCATCGATGCAAATGCAGAGCGGTGAAAGGACCGTCGATGCAAATGTGGAGCGGCGAAAGGTCCACTTGGCAATTGCATGACATCGATGCAGATGCAAAATAACCCTCACCTTTTACCATCGCTCTCCTCATCCACAACAATCACTCGTGGTCTTCAGCAACGTTATTATTCGCCACCATCAATAACATTCGTCATAGAACGTTAAAATTATATTTTTATCATTTATTTTTATATTTTTATCAGTAAAACTAATATCATTAGAATAAATGAAACTAGATATTTCACTTTAATAACTATAGTAACTACATGCGGTACAGGATAATATATAATTAATATATTAGGAGGATGATGAGATGTATAAACTATTGAGCCAACATGCTTAAAACTAAATTAATAATAATATATTTTTAATACTAATTAAGTTTGGTACAAGTGAATCATTAATTTGATAAGCCCTAAACTGGAGACATCACAGTTCTTTTGCTTGCACAAGTCGACGAGGCATGACGTCGATGAGCTCCAGGTAACACTACTCTCAGTCATATTACATTTGCAGAGATCATGGTCTCGATAATGTAGCCATGGATCGCGTTGCACGCCTGGAAGTCTTCGCGAAGCACGCCATAGTTAATCGTTCAAGCAGAAGATGGGATCTCGGTTTGTCAATGGCCATTTCTTGCTCACCCGGAGATCATGCAAATCCACGTGTTGACTCTCCTGTCAGGCAATTCGTCGAACACCCCAGAAGCATCAACCGACATGGACTCCGGAGCGTCTCCCCGTTTGATTCATGATGCAGGTCGGCAGCCTCGGAGTGCGTCCTGGGTGTTACCAGTTGCTACTGGGATTGCAAAGCTTCGGCGGTAGACGTGTGGGCGGAAGAGGCGACATGAAGTTTGGAGGTTAACAGGGTTCATGGGTTTGGAAGTATTTAGAAAGAATGGTCAGGTGTAGCTGACATCTTGAACCCTAAACCATAAACAACTAGACAGTAGTGTGCTGGGGACCCCGCACACAGGAAGAGAGGAATTAATACCAATTCCGATTCCCTGGTAGCATATTCCTTTCGGATCTCCTTGCTTCCTCCTTGCCTTCTCTCGAAAGGTCTCGTCTTTGCTACTTTTTGCGATCACCACTCCAGGAAACTCTCATTTGTGTGGAGTTGTTGCTTGGTTTTGGCATTGAGGCGGGGAGGAAGGTGGATTTTTGGGGCGACTTAGTGATTTCGGTTTGTTGTGGAATGCCAATTTGATTTGACAAAGGATTTTGGTGAGTGACCAGCTATTGATTTGTGGTAGATTGCTTACTAATCTTAGTTCGCATCTCTCTTCTTCTACTACTTTGGTTAGTTTTTGTTTTGTCTTTTGTTCTTTGGTTTGTGATGATCGCAGGGAATGGTTTGGCAATTTGGATAATTCTGTTTGGTGTACTGTAATCAATTCTTGCTCTGTGTTTATGGGTTATCAAATTCTTTCTTCAAACTCTACCATCTACTATGTTTATTTTGGCATGGATACTCTGTATGAAAATAGGTCATGGGAGAAAGATCAGTGATAACTATTCTCCTTGGCAAATGACAAATGCAGATAGGTTCATGTTCTTCTTGGATGAATTTCTTTTTGAACGGTAGGCACTTAGTAATTTTCTTCACTAATTGTAACTAAGTTTTTCTTTGATATTTTCAGGTACAACAATAAGTTCATAGATCTATCCTGTAGCTGCATTTAATGTGCTTGATAAGGTTCAAGGTTTCATAATGCTGGAGGACGGTATGATAGAATGCAGTAACTGTCATTCCAAATTGCCAGCTCCAGGTGGTAAAGGTATATCTAGGGCATATGACAAAAACAGGAATAAAACACCACCAAAACATCGTGCTCTCAAAGTTCTTCTGGTTGCTGGCGATTGTATCTTGGTTGGCCTTCAGGTAATTCTATGATCAATATGTTAGTTCTAGTCATAGCTGCCTATATTTCAAACTGAATTTTCTTACTATCGTTATCTCAACTGTTCCAAGGTTGACTCGCAGAAGCTTGTTGAAGATGAGGTCCACAACCTCATGGCTTTTGATTTTAAAAAAGTCTCACTGTGCATTTCTGATGTAGTCACTTTTGCTACTGTTTAAAATCTATGATCAAAGAGTACTTATCCATGTTTATGTGGGCTCAGGAGCCCAATTAACACTAGCAGCAGAAGAGGACCATAGCAAAGAAAACTAGCAGAAGAGCAGTAGCAAAAAAATGGCATGGCGAAAAAGGGTTGGGTGGGAATATTTTGATAACATAACCAAGAAAAAGGACAATAGAAGCTATCTGGTTTCTTTCCCCTTCTTGTTACTCAGAAATCTTACTAACTTTGACAGATAACTCTAATCTGATCTATCAAATAAGTCTCATTCTGAGGTTTGTATCAAGACATCAAAAGAAAGAACTAATATGCTAAAATAAGGAGGCACGCCTTATAGGCTCTGGATCCTTTTTTGAAAGATTGCAAGCAGCACGCAAAAGTGTAGTTTATTCACATGCATAATTGATTACATGAGACTTTTCTGTTTGGGTCTAGACAACATGCATAATGCTTGCATCCTGCAATCTTAATCCTCTTTCTGAAACCCCTATCCTCCTTCATGGGTTGTAACATTCTTCTCTAAGAAATGTGTGCATGGAAGGGCAACATGAATTAGATAATTAAAAGAAGAAGAGACCAAAGAAAATTGCAGCAGTTTTAAAATTCTAATTGTGCTGATTACTGGAAGTTTTGACATTTACTAAGGAGAAAACAGTGCTCTTCACCTTGAAATATAACAGCTAATTAATCATGCTAGACATATGGCAGCAGAACTTTTCTTTTAATTTATTTTTCCACATTTTTCTAATAAGAATCAGCTAGTGGTACATTTCTAAACACGTATATTAATTAAACTCAAGGATATTAAGGAAAGAAAAATCAGAAGTACAAGCTTTATGTGAACTCAAGGATGTTAAAGGGAAAATGTTAGAATTACAAATTAATGCTATGTTACATGCTTTTCTATTCGTTGCAGCCTATTCTAGTCTACATGTCTAAGGTGGATGGGAGCTTTAAGTTTAGTCCTATCAGTGTTAATTTTTTGACTGAGGCTGCAAAGGTTCTCTTTGCCATCATCATGCTGTTATCCCAGGTATGGTAATATTATCACTAAATTTTTTCGCTTGAGTTTGTATTTTTGCTATTTTATTATCTAACTTTTCTATGACATAAAGTGCAAAAGTCACTGTGTTATGAACTATGAAATAATTTTAGGAAAGCAGGACATTAGTAGTTTATTTCATAGTTTTTTGTTATATCCTTCCATGCAACTTATGTGATGGTAGATGATTGTTACTCATGGTGCATTACCTAAACCTCTTGTTTGTCCACCAATTCTTATACATTACTTTTTATAATAACATAATATTATAATAATTATTTGCAACGTTTTTTAAATGGATGTCTTTTGCCCTTGAAGCTTTCATTGACGATGAAGTATTCCCAACCATTTGTTACAGACTTGCCATCTGTTATTGTATGGTTACTGTTATGGTATAATAACAGCTTGTTTGGTTATCGACTGTAATTATAATTATTAAATAGCACAGGTGCACTAAGAGAAACCATGCCTTGCCTGGTTATCAAACACATATGTAATTGGGAATCTGATGACAAACTGCAAATCTATACATTGGGTTTCTTTTTTCTAGTTTGAGTGGGCTAGTGAACTTAGATTCATGCAATTAGAGAGCATGATTCTAATAGTTCCCCTTGAAAAGGATATGAATGTTAGGAAATAACAAATCATATAGTTGCATGACTTCTGAAATTTGTAAAATAGCTAATGCCTTTCATGGACTACCTTGCAATTTTTATTTACTTTTACAGAACTATATATATTGGCTATTTCAGGTATCTAGTTGCATATGATCCAACTTCTGTGGTGTATAGCTTTCCATTTTTTTTCTCTCACTTAGTGAATCAAATCTATGATATATCCATATTGTTTTTGTTTTCGCTTTTTTTCATTTATTTTGCTGTCTTTGGTACAATTGAGCATGTTCTTGGCTCTAGTATTATTTTGTTAATCTTTTACTAGCATATAAGATGCCATGTCATGCCCCTTACTTATTAATTGGCAGGCTAAAAAACAAAATAAAGGAGACAAACCCCTACTCTCGATATCCACATTCGTGCAGGTAAAACTCTTATGCAATACTATTGACTTTCATAACACAATTTCTATTTTCTTTATCACTTTTTTTCTTTATTAAGGGTTTGGCTTGACCTAATGTGTTTGCAACCTTTTTTTTGCAACCAGATCTCCAATTGGATCAATAAGTTATGTCCATCTCATCTTAAGTACTCTTTGCTTTTTTATCCAAATGTATCATTGTTAGAATTGTTTGAATGACCCAAAGGCAGGAAGAGATCCATGTGGCCACCCCAAGTAGTTGGAACACTATGGCTTTGTTATTTTTGTTCTTGTCATTGTTGTGGAATTATTGAGAAAGTGTGGATGATGAGATTTCGTTATGATTCTAGATTCTTAGTATGAAACAAGCTTATGGATCTGAATGTTTCTGGTTGAAACTAAAATTAATATCTTCTTGCTATTGCATATTTTATCAAAAAAAGTTGCAAAATTTGAGAAAGTGTGGACGATGAGATTTCTTTATGATTCTAGATTCTTAATATGAAACAAGCTTATGGATCTGGATGTTTCTGATCTCGTCTAGATTTGGAAGCACATTCCTATTCAGTGACATAATCTTTCAGTTAGAAGGGAGCTGTTGATCTGTTCTTTGTGCTTGACTGCTTTTTGTGATAGTTTGTGCATGCTGCTTTTAAAATCTTTTTTCGTATATGTGTTGATCATCATACAAAATGAATATTCTAATGTTAATACTTTGAATTTTTAAATAAAAACCAAAATTCTTGGAATGTCATACATTTTGTTACTATGCTTGAATTAGTTTGCTAGGTACTAATTGCTTATTGATGTTTTCATTACATCTAAAAGGTTTCATGATAGCAGTTGTTTGTCTAGAATTTGGTGTGACATGGAAAGATGCATGCCTTGTGAAAGTGATATATATAGCTAACTGAAGCTATTCTTACAAGGTTTTGCTACTATACCAGAGAATTGGATTTTCCATGGTAGTGGTTTATCACTTTATCCATAATTTCTCTTCAAGATCCTTCCAGTTTCAAAAGTTATAATGCAATTAGTTTTAAACTTTGTTTTAGTGAACAAGCATTAGCATCTTCTTTCAACTGTTTTGTTATCTTTGCAGGCATTTCGCAATAATGTTCTTCTTTCTATTCCTGCTCTTCTTTATGCAATCAACAACTATCTGAAATTTATAATGCAGGTATAGTCTTTTTTTTATCAGATCAAGCATTGTTACTTCCATTTTCTTGTTTATCCATTATCTTCAGGAAATATTAAAGGTAATATTTTTCACCCAGCCTATATAGCTGCATTGGAGATTTATATTTTCTTGACTAAGCTGATTATTTGTTCTATGCCTTATGCAGTTGTATTTTAACCCTGCAACTGTTAAAATGTTGAGCAACCTGAAGGTAATACGTTTCTGAAACTATTAGTACCTGTGTGTTAACTTGATTGACAAATGTTTTTGTACTAAGTGCTTTAGGTTGGTTATCTGGCAAAAATGTTAGTAGCTGTTTGCTTAATAAGTTTTCATAGACTAACTTCTATTGCAAAAAGCTAAATTTCTGGTTTTTTTATTGGAATGTGCATTCTCATACAAACTCTTCACATCTATAAGCTTTTGTTTAGTTGTTTTTCTTTCTTTTCTTTTTATTTGAATTTTTGTTTGAATCATTCAGAGTTAATTTTAAACCAAAAATCTTTCTAGTGGTTTCATAAAGGTGTTAATATATGACACAGCTGACCCTAACACAACATAAATTTGTAGTTTTGGTTTTTGTTTGTGTGTTTGGGTCATAAGCAGTTGACATAATTTGCCTCACTAATAAATTGGTCCGGTTCAGTGTTGAATGTGACTGACAAAACTTGATTAATAATAAGGTTAAATATATTAAATCAACTTCTAGTCCTATGTTGATCAATAAGCTGTCAGGGCATTGAACAGTGATCCTGTTGATAATTTTGATGAAATGAGTGCACTGCTAAGTTGTGCTCCCTAGGAGTTAGCTTTAAAAGGGGAACTTTTGATACATTTATTATGCCACTCTATTGTTCATGGCTTAGGTGTGTCTTTATTTAGGGTACATCTGACAAAATCTTCACTTAGTAGCACTATTTTTCTTGTATTCCAATTCTTATTTAATAAATTGGAGTAACTGGCTCCTACTCTTCCTCCCAAAAAATGAAGAGTTCAGCATTTTTATTGCTATTTTGTCTGAAACTGTACATTGTTATAATTGATCTTTTACTATGGCAACTAGTTGTTCTATAATTAAATTGCTGAAGTACTAAGAAAGTGTCTTTAACCATCAAATGACTGTTTCTGCTTGTATTTGTCATATCATTCACCATGCTAGACCTCAATTTATTTGAGCCTATTTGGGAATTCTGTAGCTATCATTGATAGGCATCTGTGGATATGGTTATAACAACTAGGACTTTGCACATGATTTTGCATGTGAAGAGGACCCAAACACCATAAGCAACTTATAGGCAAGTAGAACTTCTTCGTCACAGAATGGACAGCCCAGGCTAATATGGAACATAGGTTCCATATATGAACCAAGCACATTACATTCATAGAGAAAAATCATCCGGTGCTTGGTATTTGTGTTAGTTCATTTATTTGTCTTGTGTGTCTCATATTATGTATTTTATCATTTTTGTCATTTTATGTGTTATATTTTGAACATTCCTATATCAAGCATGTTGCATTCATAGAATTTTCTGGTCCTGAATTTGTTTTGCTGGTGCTCTAATCTCCTGCAGGTTTTGGTAATTGCTGTCCTTCTAAAGATCATTATGAGAAGGCGCTTTTCCATAATCCAGGCAAGTTAAAGCTTCATTGATTTATCACTTAAATAGTTTATATAATGTAAACTAGTTTATATAATGAAGGTATGGAAGACAATGTTGTACATGAAATTCTTAGGTTATTCCTGAACATGCCATATTCCTCTTTAGCAGTAATATATATTCAAAATTGATATAAGTTGAGCTATAAGAATAGATGAAGAATGCCAATACTTTTCTAATAATTTCATGCTTTATTATTTGACAGTGGGAGGCTCTTGCACTTTTGCTAATTGGAATCAGTGTTAATCAGTTAAAGTCACTGCCTGAGGATACCAATGCACTTGGTCTTCCTGTTGCAATGGGTGCATACTTGTATACACTGATGTTTGTAAGTGTTATCAACTAGGGGGAAAGAAAGCTCTTTGAGAAACTAGAAATTACTGTTTGCAAATTGAAGTTTCTATAAATGATTGAGTTGTGCTTAACTGTTGAACCGGACATTAATATAAGGATGACTTGAAACTTACCCGATTGTTTTATTTTACTGGCTTACAATTAGATTTCATTTAGTATACTATGCTATGACATTCTCAAAAATGCCACATCTTAAATTTATATAATGACAATTTTCTAGCTTACCTCTCCAATCAAATTTCTTGTTTAAGAGCCTCAATTTCATTATTTGACATATTGTTTTCTCTAGATCCACGAACTTATCTTTTGACTTGTTTTATAGATGAAAAACAAGATTGATTCTTTTACTATTTTATGTTTGGTATAGTTGTTTTGAGCACCTTCTCCCTTTTTCCAGCAATTTCACATAATATCTTAATGATACCAAAATATATTACTTTCTAACTAACAACTAATTCTACTAAATCTTTTCAATTGATCTACAATGACCATCATCTAATATTTCCCTTAGTTTTGTTCAAGTTTGTGGTCATAAATTCTTACCTTGAAACAAAATTTCAGGTTACTGTTCCTTCTCTGGCTTCGGTCTTCAATGAGTATGCTTTAAAAAGCCAGTTTGGCACAAGCATATATCTTCAGGTAACTTTTGTGAATTACCACTATAGATTTCTAGGGGTTATAACAAAAACTGATAGTGACAAAGAGACCCACGTAGCTGATCCCAAATAGTTGGGACATTATGGCTTGTTGTTATTGTATAATAAAAACCTACATTTTATTGTGCTAATAGAAACCTACCTTTTACTATGCTAATAAAAAGGCACATGTTATTGTGTTTCGCCAACACCATATCTATGCTTTTCTAGATGCAGCTAATTTAGTCCTCATCAAGAAGTTATGTAGATATGGTTGCCATGTAGCGGCTTAACATGTTTAGGAAGATGGCAGACAGTGGGTTGAGCACATATCAGCCACTGTTTTGATATGGAGACCTCCATGACCCCTTTTTAAACACTGGATATAACAATTTGCAAACATTGGGGATAAGAATCGCTTATTTTGAATGTTTCTTTTGTTTCACTTGCAGAACTTATTTTTATATGGCTATGGGGCTATATTTAACTTCATTGCAATTGTTGGAACTGCTGTCCTGAAAGGTATGAACGTAAGAAATTATCAGGTCTCCAAATTTTGCTATAAATAATGATGACATGTGCAAATTATTCTAAAGAGATATTCTTTAAATGAATTTAGAATCATATTTTTTTATTTTTTTAAGCTTAAGTAAGTGACTTTTTACCTGTTTATTAAAGGGTCTTCTCAATGTATAATATATTCAGTGTTTATCAAACACAAAACTAGGACACAGATGCTTCCTTTGCTAAATGTTGTATGAAATGTCTATCACATGAATAATCAAGCATTTAGGTTATCTATCTTCCACTGAGTTTGTGCAATTGATGTCTGTTGAAACCTGCATCTTTTCAACTTTTCATGACAATTTGCTGAGTTCAACATATTCTTTACAGCATTCTTCAGCTGGAGGTTTATGAGAAAACTTTTCCTTTACCTATAGAAACTAACCATTCATCCCACCATTGGAAGCTTTAACGCCAACTCTCATGGAATTTCATCACTTAAGACTTAAGAGGCTATAATTGAGCTGTTGCTAGCTGTATGTATCATTCATGCCAAACCAGTTGTGCCTGGTTGGGACCTGCAACCTGCAGAGGATTTATTCACTGGAAAGGTTATGGATCTATTTAATTATTGAAAGAAATAAGAACAGTTTGTGTTATTTGTATTTGTTAATATTGATTGGATTTATCTTCCTGATACAAGAATGCTGGCAACTTGGTTTTGTTGATCACCTAATAATAGAGGTGGCAGGTGTGTGTTAAAATAGAAGAGAACACTAGGGAGAAAAGAGAGGTTCTGGCCTCTTCTTCATATAATTTGTTTATAGACTCAAATGTAAATTGACAAAGATTGACCACCATAGCAGGCTATATATTTTGCTCATATCTTTTCCATATTAGGGTTTTATCTAAAGCAATTGTTGTCTCATATGTGCGGTTTTTCTTTGGTTCTACATAACTTCTGAAGATGTAAATAATTTGTGAAGGGTAGTTGGTTACAATTCGACTTCCTATGTTTAGTTGTTTAAGATTCTGTGGAAGCTAGATATGTCCTTCAGCCAACTAAACAAGGAAATATAAGTAGTGAAACAAATATCGTAAAGGCCCAAAAGTTTTGTTTCCATGGTTGTGTATCAAAATTAGCTTTATTTTATGCAGCTTTCCTGATTAAGCTGTGATGTCACTTGAGCATTTTATGTCGTGTTAATGGAGATGACTAAGCGAATTAATGTATACCATCAATTCAAGATTAGTTTTTATTAGCAAATATATTCATATCTAGGAGATTCAATTTTAATGATTAGGCCAGTAATCTGATATCGGTTGGTAACCCTGAAAAAAAAAATAAAACAGTTTATTGGGAAACAACAGTTTATGAAGTTTTATCTCTAACTTACGCTTTCCTGTTCTCTTAGACTCCTAGCCTCAATGCTTCTACTATTCCTGAATTTTTGTGTAACCTTTAACAAAATCAGAAGATGACTTATATCAATGCTTTTACTCATTTTGCCGTCAATGAACTCCTCCACTGGTTTGCCCTTACTAGGTTCTGGCATTATTTAGAACAAGCTCTTTAGTATAAAATCTGAGAGGTGATTAAATATGGATTGCAAGGATTATGATGTAAAATTTTCTTGATATTGCAATCTTGAGAAGTTTGACTATTCAATATCATTACACTTGTATCAAGCATGCTGCTTTTTAATGTTGATTTATATATGGGCACTGCCATTCTTGAAACAATAAGGTAGAAAAGCCCTAAGCTACAAATGCTTTTTTGTTACAGGATTTTTCTATATATCCCCACAGAAGTCCTTAGTTGCGTATCTGTATTCCAATCCACCCAGTTGTAGGTGGAAAAAATGAATATATTGGCAACATCTATGAATCTAAATAGATGTGTATATATATTTTTCAGGGCTATATATATGCACATTAGATATTGTGGTTTGTTTCATATGCGTTGGATTATTGGGCCGGAAGGACCAATGGTATTTGCTTTAATGAGCTGGTCTGCATCATGATGGTGATACATCTTCCTGATGTCTGAGTTTGATGTTTTGAGAGTTTGCATCACTTATCACAGTTTTCTTTTAATTACTTGCAATTGAAATGCATATGAAAGTGATGGTGACTTTTATAAATACACATGAATGAAATGTTTGGAATGACATGTCATTGTTTTCAGGGCCAAATAGCTTTGATATCCTTCAAGGGCACTCAAAATCTACGATGTTTTTAATATGCAACAATGCTGCACAAGGAATCCTCTCCTCATTCTTTTTCAAATATGCTGGTAAAGCTGCTGTCGCTTGTCTCTCTTTATGAGTTTGAGTTTCTTGATATCCTGTAGTAACTTGGAATATTCCGACTGAATTATATTGTTGATATATTCTTCTTGATGCATTATATTATTACATTCATGGTCAATGATTGCAGATACGATTTTGAAGAAGTATTCCTCTACCGTTGCCACAATTTTTACAGGCATTGCATCTGCTGCTCTGTTTGGTCACACTCTGACAATAAATTTTATCTTGGGCATTTCAATAGTCTTTATATCAATGCACCAGGTAATTTCTACTTTTTCAAGTCATTTTCTTGGAGGACCGTATGCTAATATTCTTGTACATCTTCACATAGTTCTTTTCCCCACTTGCAAAAGCGGAAGATGAGATGCCTGATAAGAGAATAGAGATGATGGATGCTCAAGATGTCAGGTTTATATCTATTCCTTGTTTCATTCTCCTAAAGACTATATTTTCCTTTTGTTATCCTCGTTTAACCTATATTTTTGTCTGAGAGAGTAAAAAACTCTACCACTGTGAACTACTGCATGGTATAGATTTTGTTTTTTTTGTCAGCACAAACCAGCATATGCTGAGACATCTGTACTGGTTCTGGCCTTCTTTTTTTTTTTGTTCTTATGGCCAGGTCAAATTTTGACAATATCTACCAACACTGGAGGCATGATACTGTATCAATCTAACAGTATACCAAAACCCTCCAAATTATCTATATGAAAGACCTTGCTCTTGATTATTTTCTTTAAAGTTATTATCCTTTTTTAGATGAATAATTTTGCATATGCTAGAAGAAACTACAACAATCCATAGACTGGGTTGTGAACTCAATGCACATGCCATGACAGTAAAGTTAGAATTTCTTTTCACGCGCAAGCATGCTTGTGTCTCTGCATATTTCCACTTTGATGTCCGTTTAACTTGTGAAACAACAATTGAATGTCGCTTCAGTTGAATGAAGTAACAATTGAATATTAATCTAAATTGTCCATTTCACTTATGAAATTCATGTCCATATCTTTACATGCTCATCATCTTGTATAATCCTTGTTAGATGTTATCAGTGATACTTTGCCCTGAATCTAGCATGTGTTCCAAATCATCTTGTATATATTTGCAGATTAAAGGAAGCTTCGTATGTAAATATAACTCCTGGGGCAACTAAAGATGTAAGAAACAAACTTGTTCAATTATTATTCGATGAAACTTTTTGATAAAACAACTTAATGTTGAGATATTTTTCATGCATCACTTTCTATTCAGGCTAGCCATCCTGTTGGACCCGACGAGAGACAGATGCTTCTACGTGTCTAATATTACTTTCAAGGTCCATGCTTCTTTCTTTCAGGAAAAGTAATTAATACATGTCATGATTGATTTTACTTTATTACTAAGACAGTATGATTTTGATATGTTTTAAGATTCTTGCATTCTTTTTTCCCGAGAGTATTAAACACTACATGATACCATTAGCATACTATAAAGTTGATGTTGATAGCATGGCAAGGCAGGAGATATGTGGCATTGACATTTTCACTCAGCTAAAGTTAGACTCCAGCTATTTCAGCTTATTAACTAATAATTGAGTATTAATCTTTTTGAAACTCATTATAATTTGATATTTTTAAGTAGAATGAAGAGGACTGAGCTATATATTTGTTCATTCCTGATGTCTCGAGCTATGATCAGGATAGCTAACCTATCATATGACATCTGACTCTTAAACTATAGATATACCTTGATACCGAGGTAAAAGTGTTGTGTGAAGCCTAAAAGAATTAATTTTGTTTCAACTGATGAATGAGATTCTCAGAAGATCAATCATAGACTATGACCAATCATAAGTAAAAGCTATGATCAATCCCAGTATGATATTCTTAGAAGATCAAACCATGTTTGTTTCTTGTATAACCATGCAGAAAAGGCAAAGTGAAAATTAGACTTTGCAGATTTTGAGGCCCATATCATCAAAGACAATAGATTCTGGCTAGTTAGAAATTGTTTTATGTTGACTTGGACTATATTTTTGTTATTCTCACACAAAATGTGCCCGCTTTGTTTCCAGGAGAAGTTGGGTTATTAAGCAGCATCAGGTACATATATACATGACTTTGCTGCTGAACAAATGTTAGATTTGTATTCTTCATCTAGATTTAAATACCTTAGCAGGATCTTCGATGAAAGTTCTGTTGGCGGAGATTATGTACCGATGAGCTATTTCTAATCATAATAATTAAGCTTCGGCTCGAAGACAGGATACATAGATCCAGCTATTTGTTGGTACCAAGTCTCGAGCAATTTCATCCCGTCAAAACCTGTCAAATTCAATGAAAAATTGGAGGGTGTACTATTTTATATATTTTTATATGGGTAAAGTTTTCAAAAATATCTTAACTTTTTATTTATTCCTACTAAGCATCTCTTTTTTATTTTAGTATCATAAAATGTCTCTTATCTTCTCAAAGATGAGATTATTCTTGACTTTCGTCATATCGTTGCCTTGTCACCATCCTTGATCCCATTGTGAGGCCTCTCGACGTTGTCCTTATAGGCCTTGAGAGGCTTCTCACCACCATCATGTCACATGTGGAGGCTCACATATTCCACGAAACCCCTCGTCATTGTCCTCATCACTCACTTTTGTCCCTCATCCTTTATTGCTTCTGTTGTTAAAAAGAGTTAATCTTCTCGAAACCTCTTATAGTCCTTTATGGACCTGGAAAAAAGAAGATATGTTAAAGAAAATATTTAACCCAAGATTCATAAACAATCATTTCTGTAAACACTTGATAGACAATATAAATTATAAACATAAATTTTGTAAACTTCGAACAATCGCAAGGATCCAAGGTGGTCCGTCACGATTACAAGTCCTCACAATATAAATTACTAACATAAATTTTGTGGCATTGTTGTAGAACAAACAGTGAAGCCCTAGCCCTAGATACTATCTCAAAGATCTATCAAATGCACCACTCTATGTAAAACCCGATTCATTGACCATTCCTATATAAATGGCTTTTGAAAAACTTGTTAAATCGAGCGTCCACAGCGTTGCATGCAACCCCTTGATTGATCTCCTGCGGAGGACGCATAACTCGCTGATGACAAGAAGGATGGAATATGAGGGGGTTGGTTTTGGTCTGCCGTCTTCCCATGAGATAAAAAGAAGAGCACAAGGCAGCACGCTTTCGCCACCAAGCCCTTTTCTTCTCTTTATTTTCCCCCTCTCCGTATCAGAAAGGCTCTCGCCACCGAGCCCATTTCTTCTCTTTATTTTCCCCCTCTCCGTATCAGAAAGGCTCATACAGGATGATGGTCTCAAGAAGAACAGTAAAATATACAGGCACGTTCGCGGAAGAAAAGGAAAGTACCAAAAGACGCTGAGGATAAGCCATGCCCACAGTGAACTTATGCCGAATAGTTGGTGGGTTTGTTCCACCTCCGCCGCGCTTAAAAGCCTGATATAAAAAAGCTGCGACGCGGCACAAAGGAAGGCAGCAGAAACCAGAACTTAAGCTGATCCGTGACGGGAGATGCGAGGCTTACTCCTCCACTCTATCTCTCGCCAAAGGAGAGTTGCCCTGCAACTGGTTTTAGCTTAAAGCATCTTCAAAACCTGGAGCTCATTGGTGATGTCCTTCCTCCCCAACAATTTTAGAACAGTTAAAATAAGGAAAAGAACGCACCAACAAAAACAATAAGACGAACTGAGATGCTTGCTGTCGTACAGATAGGGTCAAATTTTTTTTTATTTGATTTTGACCCCACATTCAACTCAAACTTTGGAAATGTGACATGCAAAGTGGAGCTTACTGTAAGCAGGCAGCATTCCATTGTTTTTGTTACCATTTACCAATCCAAATATGTAAAGCTAAACTGCAATATTTACAGCTTTCTACCACCTAACAATATCAACAAAAAAAACCCCACGAATAAAAGGCAGGACCAGTGCAATGCAGACTATGTGCATTATAGAGAGGTTGTTTAGCTTAGTAAAAGATCTCTAAAATGGAGTTATGATTTTTATCCAGTTATAAGAGGTTGTTTCTCAAGGGAACATGAAATATAAGTCTTTCGTGTACATTTGTATATCTTTCTTAGTGTGATGATCTAGAGAATCATCTGGATGTTAAGCTAATAATAAGTTGGTTTTGTAGCAAAAATTCATTTAACCAGAAAAAGACATTGATAATAATAAGAATAAGAGTTTGATGATCCAATGTCATTAATTTGCTAGAATATAAATTTTAAGGGTTAAAGATCCATCATATCAAAAGTATAATTGCCTATTAAGTTCAGGCATATGTCCTCTTCAAAGAAAGAAATGTGTGAACTAAGCAGCTAATGCATCCACCAGTGATAAGACAAATATATCAGCACATGAATCAAATAAATAATAAGAGCTAAGAGAAGACAGAGAGTCTAAGAGGAATATTAATTAAACAAAAATATATCTTCTCCAAGACAGTTTGAAGTGACCGCTAGATATAGATTTCCATAGACTTCATAACAAAAGCACCTGAGATTATAAAGTAAAACATGAGAAAGACAAAATAGTAGATAAAAGGTATTCAAACATGATGTTTTGACTGTGAGACTTCAGGCCTCCATGTATCTTTCTTTTGATCTGCTTTGGTTCAGATCATACAGGTTTCTTCCGAAACAATTTATACAGGTTTCTTTCGACCTGCTTTGGTTCAGATAATAGGGTCATGTATCCTCATCTTTGAATGAGACTGCTATTTCTCATGATCTAAGCCCTCAAAAAGGAATACTAAATTGCTACTATTTGAGGATGGATAGTGACTCATCTGCATTACCAAGCTTCGACCGCAACTAATGCAGAACTAATCATACCATATGCACTAGCACCAATGGACATATAAAACCTGGCAACTCTCTAGCATGCAAAATTGCTCATTTGGTTTTTCGTCTTGTGTCATTTGGAGAGTCAAACAAATTTATCTTCATAATCAGAGGATCAATCCATGCTTAGAAATACCAACCATCGTAATGTCATTGGTAAAATAAACATCATCTTTCTAGAAGGAAGCCATCGCAAATGTCATTGGTAAAATAAACATCATCTTTCTAGAAGGAAGCCATCGCAAATGTCATGGAAAAATAAGAAAACTGATGCCAAAATGTCAAGGAGTCCGAAGGCTAACATCTTGACCATGTGAACACAACCAAGATTTACTAGTAGAAAATCATTTACCATCAATTTGCCATGAAGTCAAATGATGAAATGAAATCCACACTCAGAAAATAGTCATTCCCTGATTATAGCATATGCACTAGCCCCCAAAAAGGAATACTAAATTGCTGCTATTTGAGGATGGATAGTGACTCATCTGCATTACCAAGCTTCGGCCGCAACTAATGCAGAACTAATCATAGCATATGCACTAGCACCAATGGACATATAAAACCTGGCAACTCTCTAGCATGCAAAATTGCTCATTTGGTTTTTCGTCTTGTGTCATTTGGAGAGTCAAACAAATTTATCTTCATAATCAGAGGACCAATCCATGCTTAGAAATACCAACCATCGTAATGTCATTGGTAAAATAAACATCATCTTTCTAGAAGGAAGCCATCGCAAATGTCATGGAAAAATAAGAAAACTGATGCCAAAATGTCAAGGAGTCCGAAGGCTAACATCTTGACCATGTGAACACAACCAAGATTTACTAGTAGAAAATCATTTACCATCAATTTGCCATGAAGTCAAATGATGAAATGAAATCCACACTCAGAAAATAGTCATTCCCTGATTATAACAGGTGGAGACTTCATGACGATAATGAAGGTACCAAAAGTTACGTCCAGCATGCTCTATTAATAAGGAAAAAAAAAAGATTGAACTGTTCTTTTATATAACTTGACATAGAACAGAATTCCATGTAGATTCCACAGAAAAGCTGGTATCCAAAAATTCTAAGGCAAGCTTACCTTCTCGGAATGGTCTCTGAGATACTAATTACATGCAAAATAAGGAAAAGGAAGAGAGGTTTACCGTTGAGTTGAGTTCCCAGATGCAGACTTTATTGGAAGGGGAAATGGATGTATATGACCCTTCATCAGAAAGAGTAGGAATTTTAAGTGATTTCAACTGACAAAAGAATTCTACATGCATTATTGATTGAATATCAACTACTCCATTTTTTGGTCTAGAGAGCACAACAGAAACACCCATCTACTTTCTACCATCTCTTGACTAACACTGTATGTACCCTGAACGTATGCATCAAGCATACAGATATCTAAGTGATTCTTGTGATCAGCAGTTAGCTTGACAAGTAATTCAAGAGAGTAAATCAGAAGCATCTTACCATATACTTATTAGCAGCTTAAAGAATATTTGCCACTAAACTTGATTAAGATTCTTCTTTCTGAAATGGAATAATAAGCAGATAACCACAGGAGCAATAATTATTCAGCAAAACATAAATTTAACTGCACATTACTTAAACTACAAGAAATGGCCAAGAATTTAGTCCACAGTCATAAAACCAAGAAATCACCAAGAATTTATCCTTCCAAGATCTTTATTATCAAGATTTATAAGAATAGCATTGTTGTCAATTTTTCACAGGGGTTGCCAATAAGTTACTACATTCAAAGTTCAAGTAAATCAATCAATGACCTAAAGCCTAAACAATTCTTGAAGACGAGTAATTAGATGCAGAGTATAAATTTGCTTGGTGGTCCACAAGTACAACATATATATCAGATGGAGACACTTTCTATCATCTACTTTTCACAACTTTGCTACTTTAGGAGTCAGAATTGTCTCAGCTAGACCAACATAGGAAAAGAAATTACCAAATTATTCAAATTGAGCATTTAAGCTACAAGTACATTAAATATAATCAATGTTTCTTCCTCTGATGTAAGTTCTAATGAATACCTTACTTTTTTAAAAAAATATTATTTAATCACAACAGGAATTATAATTAAGGCAGTGTACATTGACCCTCCCCAAAACCCGCATTGGTGGTGTACTGGGTGCAGTCCTTTTTATCATAGCATGAGAAACCAAAATACCACATATCAGTAGAATAAAAAGTATCAAGAAAAGATCAAAAGAAGAATGTCTAGCATGCACTGCCAACCAGTTGGCTATGTTTATCTTCCCTATAGATGGATTTGACTTTGTAAAATTCAAGGGAGTTCAAAATGCTGCAGCATTTTGTGATTGTCTTTACTAGTATCAAAAGAACTAGAAAACATAACTTGGACACTCAATTGTCATTTTTGCGTCAGTTGCCTACGCCTGTTTTCGTAGTTTACTAACGATCCAATAGGCATATATAAAAATCATCTTCAGATAAGGGAACCTTAAATGTTATGTCCTTGTACAGAATTTCAAGATAATTTTCATATCCTACTCCTCAACAATTGTTAAGGACAAAACCTTCCATGTACAAAGAGCTATTCTAAAGCAAAAAACATTCACTTAGTCACAAACACCAGCAACAAGGCTCTGAACAATGGGGAGAACAGTCGATAATATGTACGGACTGATAAATTCAACAGATGTTGTCACCCTGCAAACCGATGCTAACCACCATGCAAGGTAGAGATAAAAGACCACGACATCCTTCTCCTCCAACTCCGTGTCGAGGCTGCCACATAGTTCCCAGTCACAATCGTTTACGAGTACTAACAACCCCGGTCTCCTACACACCCAACAACCAAATACCATTCGCGAACTCAAGAAACAAAGTCTCCAAAACCCTAATTTTACACGAATGCATCACCAAGATCGGAATTATCTCATTTCTATAATCTATCAGAAAAACTTACACCGAGTCCCCTTTCATGAACATCTCAGGTCGCTCCTTGATCAAATTCGACTTGACCCAAGCCAACAGGTCGCGCATCGTTAGCTGCGAGTTATGCCGCCCCACGAGATGACTAACTACAATAACCCTAAAAAGAAGGCGGCGAAATGATGAGTTCGTACCTTGTCCTCACCGGGGTTTGGTTTCACATCTACGTTGTGGATCTTGGAGGATTGGCAAAGGAGCTCCAGGCCGCCGCTAAAACCACCACAGATTGGGAAAAGGGTGAGATGAGACCAAGTGATAGAAACCAAAACAAGAATAAGTGGAGGTGAAAGCGAGAGAGATTACCCAAACTCCAGAGTGAGTTGCATCGAATCTAATTGGACAAGGATCGATCGGAGAAGAGACGATGAGCAGAGAACAAGAACTATGGGGGCGCGACAAAGGAGAGAGAGAGAGAGAGAGAGGTGCGGAGCCTTAGTTAATGAGATGTTTATTTACGAAAGAATATGATATTTAGAAGAGTAAATGAGTTATTAACTTTGAAAGGGTAAATAGATATTTCAAATCATTAATTGAAAGATAAATTCTCAAAAAAAAAGTTTTTTTATGTTTTATTCTTGCATAACATTTTTTTTTCAAGATCAAACTACATTTAACCGTTATTTTATCATCGTTACTTGTTACGATATATCATAGGTTATTTCCATCATCACGATCGCCTTCGTATCATCCATGATAGTAAAGGCGAGAAGCGACGATGACTGTTACAATAAGATGAAAGCCAAAGGTAATATCGTCTTTAAAAAATATTCGATCGAAAAAAGTAAATATTTTAATTTTTTAAAAATATATATATGTAATTAGATGTTAATTATGTATCTTAGGAGTTTATGTAGAATTAAGAGTCTTAAATAGAAAACCTAACATTGATATATCAGTTATCTTAGTTGATAATATATTTATCAACTAAGCTAACAGACATTTCTGAAAGAATATATATATATATATATATATATATATATATATAATTGATCAAATAAAATTTAAAATTCTCAAAAGAGGGTTCAATATAAACACCATTAAACTACTGTTTTAGATATTAAATTTTTAGGTGTTGATGACCAAAGTCTTGTTTCTGTCAAAAATTAGAAGTCATCATTGTTGTATTGTTTCTTTACCTATATATTATTCATTCCTGATGTGCATTTTGAGCAAATCATTTCCTAATAGCAAACAATTTACACCAGCGAACACAGATGATGGACTTTCCCAAACTTTGGAATCCTTGTTGAACTGAGCTGAAGTCTTCTGCCTGCCTAAGTAGGCTGCAAGAATTCTGGGAAGTATTGGTCTCCTCGCCATTGTTCTTCTTTTGTTCATCACGCATCTTACTTTTTCCTCGACAATGACTTTTGCGGACTGGCTTGTAGCTCAAGACTTTTCCCTGAGAACAACTACTTTAGTGGTACATATACCTTTCGCAGAATCCTCCGACCTCATCACCGAAGAACCTTCTTCCATGATCATTATTACCTCATGCGCAGCTGAGGACCATGCAAATTGCGTTGGTGCAGCTGTCGCAGCGGATGCGATCGAGGGAATAAAGTGTTCCCCAGTCATTCGAGAACAAGTTCTTCCTCATCTCTGTCTACAAAAGGGAACGCCATGGGAGGAGCTCGGCAGCTAGCGTCGATCGAGGACTCCTTGGAGGGGTGGGTGGAAGAGGAGAAGCAACCTTGGAAATGTCGTACAGGAGCCAGCAGCAGCAGCAGAACTACGCGAGGCTGCACGGCGAGGACTACATGAGCTACGTCGCCAGGATCGAGAAGACGACGAGCATGGTCGAAGGGCCGCACTTCCCCAACCTTCACGCCATTTACAAGCACAAGGAGGGGAGCGAGGAGGAGGAGAAGTGCCAAGTCGGGCGCTTCGGCAGGGCGGTACACCTGGAGAGGTTCGACGACGGCAAGGGCGCCACCATCAAAGCAACCTGAGAGTACCATGCATGGCTTGGAGATGAAACTATAACGCTCTATGTACTGTTGATATATGCTCCGCTACTTCTCAATAAAGGTTAACTAGCTACTAAAGATCTTATGCTCCATTGACTTTGTGTTTGATTCAGGTTAACTTCTTCTTCTTCTTCTTCTTCTTCTTCTTCTTCTTCTCCTTGTGGCTTTTAGTGATGGAATTTACAGAAAATTACATGAAAGATGGCATGAGTGTGTGAGAATTCACAAGCAATAAGTGACAGAATATAAAGAGTGCAGAGACCAACAATTGAGGGCATGCTAAGAATGAGGAACATAGAGTGGTGTGGTGATCGGTGAGGGAGTCTGCAGTATAGGGATTGGATGAGAGGTATGAAGCAGTGTTCCTCTTCAGCATGAAACAGAGTCGCTGAAGAGGAACACTGCTTCATTGACCAAAGAAAAGGTATTAATTGTCCCAAAGCCAAACAGATATAGCATAATATGTTCATATTAGGGTTAAAAAAAGAATAAAATTATATATATATATTTGAGGTTAAAAAATGAAGTCTTCTGCAATAATGTAGGAGAAACTCCTATGTATAAAGTACTGAGGAAAAATATTCATAGAATAAATAATATTACTCATGTAATTGGCCCAAAATGCTAATTCATATGGAGCTCAAACACAACCTCTTGACATAATCTTCCTCTTTGTCAGATTGTTTTTGTTGGTCACCTATTTCACTCAGTTCATGATCATTAGACTATTACATAGATTTCTTTTCTGATCATCCATTATGTATCAGTAGAGTATCATATAGATTTCTTTGATATGTTTACATTCTTTAGCCAAGAACTCATCCACAGCATCAAATCTTTCACAACCCCAATTCTGATTTCCTTGGAACATGCTTCAATTATCAATCACCACATACATTGGGTTTGCCCCCATCAAACCAACACCACCAGCATTCAAGGCAAAGTGGGCAGACCTCTTTTCCAACCATTTGCTATATTGGCAACATCCAATGTTTACAGGGCATATCGAGAGACTCCCTCCGGCCCCACATGTGGGACCCGGCTAACCATGCCATTCCCCATGTAGCAACACATGCACGCGCGCAGTGTTGACCGCGGGTCGATTTCGTAATTTCGCGACTGTCGGGGGGGTAGGGAAGGGTTTCCCGTTGCCCCACCCCCCGGTTATTTGTGATATGAACACCCCCGGCTTGTCCACTTTGCACCCCTCTGTTCCCGCATCACACTGGGGAGGCGGTGAGGGACGAGGGGGCGTGTAATGGTAGGAATAGCGGCGTGAAGGTACGTCAGGATAACGTTACGTTGGTGCGCCGGTACATCGCCACCGCATTAGAACGGCACTGTCTCTCTCGCTTCACTCTGTTCCCCTCTCTTGCGATTGTCGCTTTCCTTCCCTTCCGGCGTAGCGGCCTCCCGTACCGGTTTTTGAGTACGTAGCGGTTTTCTTTAAAGGAGAGAGAGAGAGAGAGAGAGAGGACGGCC